AGAGTCTGGGGAGCGCCAGCTCTGCCCCAGGTCCTGTGCTAGGTTCTGGGATTTAGAGTTGGACGAGGCAGAGGCATGAGGGCTTCCTAGAGAGGACTCTTAAAGGATGAATGAGGTGGGTGCCAGGTGAACAAGGGGAAAGGCCTTCTCCAAAAGGGACTGGCCCACACAAAGACACAGAGGTGAGACATCGAATATGTTACCCAAAAACATGCCAGTGGTTGGTGTGAGCCCAAGTCAAGAGGGATTTTGTGTAAATGCAGACTCAGAGGCAGGTGGAGACCAGACCACAAAGGGGACTTGGAGGCAAGGGGTATGACTCCACCCTAGGTACCCCGAGAACCCAGCAAGATCAATTCAACTAGGAACCAGCAAGATTCGATTGTATCTTAGAACGAATCACCTAACTATATAATAAGAATGACCCAAACAGTTCTGTTCTTTGATGGGCAAATCTGCTTGGGGGAACCTAGTCAAAGGAAATAATCCAAAAAGAAAACAAAGCCCATTTGTCTGGAGATGTTTCCAGCAACATCATTTATCATAATGACAAGATGGCCAAAGTCCAAGTGGCCAACTCTGGACACATGAGGCATGACCCACACCCTCAAGGTGCTCTCCTAGGAATGAGAGAGAAATAAACATACTGACAGTACAGGGGGAGAATGGCTGGTGCCTGGGAGACAGATGAAAGGCAGTGAGGGTTTAGTGACGAGAAAGCTCAGCTGGGGATCCAGTGAAGGCAGTCTGGAAGAGGTGCTATTTAAGCTGGGAGGTAGGATTAGGCCTCAAAGAGAAACAGAGGGTGAGAAAGTATACTCTAGACGGGGAGATTAGTTTACACCTTGTGCAAAGTCCAGAAAACTGCAAAATCTCAACTACACAAGGGGAGCTATGAGTGATTAAGTGTGCCGGGGTGTTCAGCCTTCACTCTGCTATAAAACACATAAGCAGAACATTATGCCACCACAGGCAATTCCAACTTTAGAGAAAACCAAAAATTTAGCCAGTAATTAAAACGTTACAATCATTTATACTCATCACAGCTTCTAATGGTATATGAACAACAGTAGCGCACTACAGGTTGGGGCATAGGTAAGGTGGGAGGCCAGTGATGTGAAATCTTAGGTGTGATTCACCTGCTTCTCCCTCACTTAGGAAAGCACATCAACTGGCCACGAGCAACAGTGAGATGATTAGAGAGAAAATCTGAACCTGCTCTGATTAGTATTCAGAATTTCCCCCAGAGAAGATCTACAAATGGCCAAGAAGCACAAGAAAAGATGCTCAATATCATTAGTCATTATTGAAATACAAACCAAAACCATAGTGAGATACCACTTAGGGATGCCACTAAGACAGGTGTAATCTAAAAAGTGGAAAATAAGCGTTGGCATGGCCATGGAAAAATTGGAACCCTTGTACACTGCTGGTAAGAATGTAAAGTGGTTCAGCCACTGTGGAAAACAGTTTGGGAGTTCCCCAAAATTTAAGTGTGGAATTAAGGTTCTAAATTCCACTGCTAGATATACACCCGAAATACTTCAAAACAAATACTCAAATCCTTGTACACAAATGTTCATAAAAGCACTATTCATAATAGCCAAAAGGAGGAAACTACCCAAATGTCTCCATCAATAGAAAAATGGATAAACAAGTTGTAATATAACCATATAATGGAATATTATTTGGCCATAAAAAGGAATGAAGTACTGATACATACTACACCATGGATGAACTTCAGAAACATTAAACTAAGTGAGAGAAGACAGACACAAAAGGTCATATATTGTATGATTCCATTTATATGAATTTTCCAGAATAGGCAAACCCATAGAGACAGAAACCAGTTCAGTGGTTGCCATGGGCCAGTGGAGTGAGGATGTGGTAATGGAGAGTGACTGCTTAATGGAAATAAGGTTTTCTTTGGAGTGATGAAAATGTTTTGGAAGGCAGCTGTGCTCGCTACTATACCACCAACACCTTTGTAGTGATGAAAATGTTTGGAACTAGAGATGATGGCTGTACAACACTGTAAATGTACTAAATGCCACTGAATCGTACACACATACATGGCTAGTCTTATATGAATTTCTTCTCAATAAAAAAAATCAGGACATCTAAATGTCCAATAAATATAAGAAAAGGATATCAATTTAATAATCAGGAAAATATAAATTAAGACTACAGTAAGATTCTAATATGTACCCATTAGAAAGGCTGAAATTAAGCCCAGTGACGAGACCAAGTGCTGGTGAGGATGTGAAGAAATAGAGACTCTCATACCAGGTTGGTGGCTGTGAACCTTGGTACAACCATAGTTGAAGGCATGCTGGCTTGTTCATCTGGAGGATTTGCACACCCTGTCACCCAGCACTCCCCTCCTAGATGTAGAACCAACAGAAATGTGTGGCTATGTGCACCAAGAAACATGTACAAGAAGGTTCAGAGACATGCTACAAATATTAGCCCCAAATGGAAACACCCAAATTTTGAAAAAAATGGACAAATAATATACAGCAAGCTAATACAGTGGAATATTATGCAGCAATGAAGATGAATTAACTACAGTCACATGCAATAGCATAAATGAATCTCAAAACTAATATTCAGTGAAAGAAGCCAGATACCAAAGAAGATATTCTGCATGTATAACATTCAAAATCAAGAAACTTTAGAATTTGGGGATACATGCTTAGGTACTAAAGTTATTTTTTAAAAGTAAGGAAGCAATCACCATTAGACTCAAGGTACTGGTTATCTCTGAGCAGAGGGAGGGGATAATCACAGCCAAGGGGCACAGGAGAGCATCCAGGGGCTACCCCTTTTCTTGACCTGGTTATGTGAATGTTTGCTCTGTAGGAAATCATTGGGCTGTACTTTTGTGTGCATTTTTCTGAATGGATGTTATATTTTACAATAAGACAATTTCAAGAAAAGGAAATAATTTGCACATACCAGTATTTTGTTATCAGGAACAAATTACTTATGACATCACTGCGCCTGTCCTCACAACTTTTTATCTTCTAAAATAGCAGGCATTCCAGTGACACTGTAACTTTAGTAGGTCAGCCATCACTCATTAGGGGCACAAGGATCGATGTGGGGGACAGGGTCCCATTGACAAAAGTCTCTTTAAACAGGGTGGGCCAGGAAACCCTCAGGAGCTGAGAAGACTTGAGACTCTGGGCCTCATCAGAAGCACAGTTTCTGGAGTGATTGTGAGGTTTGGATGAATGAAGTAAGAATGTATCACATCTCTGCCCCCAACGTATGAAGTGGTTTACAAGTGCTAACCTTATTAATTTGCATGCAAGATTTGGTTTGCAAGAGGATATTTCACCAGTCTAGAAAGATTCTCTTCTGAGTCCGAGAGAGACACTGAATATTCATCTGTTACCTATCGGTTGCAAATGGCTCCCTCCAGGCCCTTTCCAGCTCCTGAGGGTTTCCTGGCACTCCCTTTTTACATTATGGATGCGAACAGGACTTCCTCTGTGTTAGAAGAACAGCCCTGACCTGTCATCAAGGGATCCAGCCTACAAACGCAGAAGGAAAAAGAAACCAAAAATTTTTTTCCCTAGAACCTCCTTACTTTTGGGGGTAAAAGTTTGCAACAAAGTCCACAAAAGACCACAGAACCTGAAGCTGCCCTCTGCCGCTGAGTTGGCAATACCCTATATCACATGCAAAATTGCAGCGTTCCAACATGGGCCATGGTGCTGAGAAGCCAAAACTGCACTCCAGCTGCCCTTTCATCTGCAAGAAATGCCAGGCTGGATGCTCTGGCAGGAAAAGCTGTCATCTCGTTTGGGTCTTGCGCCCAAGGAGACAATAGTCTGGGCTGTCCCAAACTTCCTCCTTCACACGAAGAGTTAACCACGACCACCCAGGAAATCCTCAGTTTCCTTCAGAGTGGTTGTTCCCCGCTTCTCCCCACACACTTTTTATATTAAGACTGTGTACTAACCTCTTAAATCCGAAAGAAGTCAGAGGCTACTTGGAGAGCATAGTTCTCCTGCAAAGCTGCTTGGGGAAAGAGCTGGGCAGGGTGGGATGGGAACCTAGAGATCTGGGCCCAAGTCCTGCCTTTTGCACAGGACAGTTCTTAAGCCTCTCTCATCCTGAGTGTCCTCTTCTGTAAAAATGCCTGCTCTCCAACACAGCTATTGGGAGGATCAACCTGCAGTTTCCATCATTTATTTTGTGCCCAAAATGTGCCACCGTGAGTAAAGTATGTTATTTCTAATACCGCTTTTAGTCTTCATAGCATCTCTAGGAGGAAGGGTGATCTAAGTATTCCCCTTTTTCGGATGGGGAAACTGAGGTACAGAGTGGGCAAATTCATTGCCCAACAGCACCTAACCCAGCCACATCTTAAATCTATTTTACCTCAGACCCCAGTAGTCACACAACCGCCTCTGGGTCGTGAGGGGTCAGGGAGTAATGCCTGGCAACAGAAGACACTACAACCCCTGGTTCCCAGTCCAAAGCTCTCCCCATCACCCAGGGAGCCACTGCCCGTGATGGATGGGACTCTCCACATAACTCAGGGAATTCAGTCCAGCGCCAGGTGTCTCCGCTAGCGCTCATGCTTCCGCACCTGTGTACGGAGTGGGCACCAGACCTGCACTTACAATCCGCCAGCCAGCACGCAGGACCTGAGCGCGGGCGCTAGGTGAGCGGGAGCTAACTGTCCCCTCAGAGCCGCTGGCGTTGTCACTGTGCTTCTAAAGTCCGTCTCTGCCGCGCCTAGCTCAGACACCTCGGGTGCCCGGGCAGTGCTCCACCCGCTCCAGCCGCCCAGAGACTCGCGTTCACCCCTCGAACCCCCTGCACCGCCCGGGGAAGCCGCGGCAGGACCGCTAGTGCGTACCCAGCGCCGAGGACTCCCTTTTATGTCCAGGAATGAGGCGCGCACCGCAGCCGCGCCCGCCGCCCAAACCAACTTCCCTGCGGCACGAAGGCAGCCGGTGCCACCCTCAGGCTGGGCCGCTTACCTGTCGTGGAGCGGGTCCAGGTGACAGCAGGGAGAAGCGCGGAGACCGAAAGCAGCAGCAACAGGCACCGGCACGGCGCGTCCCGCCTGCGAGAAGTGGCCGAAGGAGAGAAGG